TGCGGGAGCCGGCGGTGCCCCTTGCGCCTGCGGCGCTTCGTGGTAGCAGGGCGCAGGTCCTCCTCGAAGCTTGCGTTAGCTGGTTGCCTTTGCGTTCTGCTTCCCCTTGCAGACCTCGGGACTCTCCCTGGCGGCACTGGTGCGCGAGGTGGGGGGGGGTGGTAGGGGTTATGGTGAACCTGAAAGGCTGTCTAAGGGCAGTACATGAAGGGGTTAAACGTTACCCGCTGTGCCTTTCGCTTGGTGTCTCTGATACGTACTCATGACTTTCCTAGCTTTCGTGGTTGGTTGTCGCAGTTCTGTGAAAAGGCTGCCGCTCTTCCTCGCTGCTTGTTTCTGAAAAGCTAGTAAACGTTAACTGAGAGTGTAGGTAAAGCTGCAGCTTCACTGCCTGGGGCCCTCAAGAGACCAGAGATGGGGATTTGTGGTACAATATAACGAGGCCCTTTCCGTGTTAGAAAAGCCCAGATCCTTCAGGCATCTTTGTCCTTCCCTTCCCCTCTGCATGCTGCAAGGGGGTGGGGAAGACTGAATTACCTTGAGCCTCCAAGCAGTGTCTTGCAGAATTCTGTAGTCTGAGGTACTGGGGCTGCTGAAAGGTCCCTCTGTGGCCCTCCACGGCTGAATGGGCAGTGCTGCAGCCGTGTCCGCCTCTGCTAGTTAAATGAGATCCTGGTTCTTCCTTTGTCAGCAAGGAAAACAGCAGCTGCCCCTGGAATCAGCCCGTGTCCTGCCATTGTGGCCCAGGTTTGTGGGCTGTGGAATGAGCACTATGCTCTGCAACTCTGGTGGTTCTCCACTGCCAAATGGTGATTTTCATCTCCAGTATGTTTTATAATTGAGCCCTGAGGGGTTATTCATGCAAAGCCTCTGGCTCATCTGGGCAAATGTAGAAGCTGCTGTTTATCAAAGCTAAACATCTTGCCTATATCTGAGTTGCTGAAACAAGACTGCCTGGAGGAAAGACTGGCACAGGTAGGAAACTGCATTCAACTCATGTCTTTGTGATGAAAATACAGTTGCTTTTCCTCAGCTTGGTATTGTTAATGCTTTTGGGAGGATTACTAGGAGCTGATGTAAAAGTTCTTGATGGTCAGAAGCCTGGGAAAATGAGTTCAACTGTATTTTTAACTTTTAAAAAATATACTATCTTTAGATTCTATTATTTTATCTATTTTTAGATTCTGTTTGCACACTATTTGATTTTAGTTAGGCTACTGTTACTGTTAATAACACTGTGCTTGATTGGGAATGCCAAGCTCTTGATGTTCAGGTGAGTTCCCTGTTGGATGTAGGTGAGTAACGACCAGTCAAGAACTTGGCAGTTCTTCTGGGCTATGTGGTCATCTTGAAACTTTCAGGAGCTTTGAGTCAGCGTTCCCCTCTCTTACCAAATACTATGAGATAAAGAAGAATCTGGTATGCTATTCTGTAGGGTGGCATTCTCAGACACTTTTCCTGAACCAGGGTATCTAGAAGATTGAATGTTTAAAAGAGCGAGTTACTTGCAGTAAGTCAGCTTTTAAAGCAACTTCAGAGCTGTGCTTTAAGAAACTTGCTAAATGTTAGGATACTTGTGATCTATTACAAATGCTAATGGTGCTGCTCCTGGAGGTTGAGTTACAGAGACAATTTTCTTAATGCATTTTTGTGTTGGATACCTAGTGAGAATTCTTCTTTCCACCATGGGTGGAAAACTTTCACCATTCTGGAAAACACCTGACCAAAAGGAGAGTGAAAGCAAACCGATTTTACCCAGGCAACTGGATGCTGAAGATGAAATCCCCAATTACGCTAGTATCAATGACTCTGCTACATCCTGTGTGCCCTGTGTGGGCATTGCACGTCGAAGCTATGTCAACTGTCCAACGTGTCAGGGAACAGGAAGGATTCCCGGGGGTAGGTGATTCTTCTGCGTGCTGTGTCAGTGCTTTTTGAGTCTTCTGAGGTTGGTATATGTCTCTCTGCCTAAAGACCTTGGTTCAACCAGTTGGTTTTATTGTATCCAGTCTAGGAATGTCCTGTCTTGGTACCACCAGCTCACTTTTGACTTCTGTGGGCTGCCTCTATTGGGGGAGGATGGGATGGGAAGGCAGGTAGTGCTGTTTCTAGATAATTACTCAAAGCCCACCCTGGAGCCCCTGGGGAGTTGTTGTTTCTGCCCAGAGATGGGAATGCTTAAACTGAAGTCTTAGTTGCATCACACTTGCCTTCTAATTGGACAGCATCACCTGTGAGGTGAGTGCAGATGGACACTAGGCTGCTGTGCAATGTCCTGCAATGCAATTTGCTTTATTTACTTGTGTGCTTAGCGTGGTCTCTGATCTGCTGCCACCTCTTTCAGAGCAAGAGAAGCAGCTGGTGGCTCTGATTCCATACGGTGACCAAAGGCTGAAGCCTAGACGAACGTAAGTCCTGTTAAATTTTCCCCTTTTCTCATCTTTTGGATGTTTCTTCTGCGTATGAAGGAAAGCCTCAGTACTTTGGGTGTTTTGCTCTTTGTGCTCTGACTTGCAGTAAGTTTGGTGTTTACTGTGTCTTTTCAGCAACAGCAGATATCGGACAGTCTTCTGTGTGCAGTTGTTGGGATCTCCAGCTATTTGTACTGTAATGCACCATTGTCAGTGTGTGGGACTCTACCCTGCCTCTGTTGTGATTTGGTAGCTGGCAAATAGTTCTGCACAAACCCATTCCGGTTTTCTGGCACCCAAGCTTTTATTGTCTCCTCCCTTTGAGCTGGAGCAGAACTGCAGGTGCTTGCAGCTGACAAACCAAGAGAATGATTGTGGCCCTGGTGCTCTTTTGCAGGAAACTCTATGTATGTCTTGCTGTGACGATCTGCCTGCTGACAACATCTCTCGGTATTTTCTTCCTGTTTCCTCGCTCCATTACTGTGCTGCCTGCAGGGCTGAAAGCTTCCTCCATTGGCTTTAATGCCACCACCACCAGTATATATCTCAACATGACGGTAAGTGCTCAGCTCACAGTCAAAGAGTGGATCTGAAGGGCTCCCTGCTTATGTCCTGTGTCACTCCATGTGTAGGCTAACTAACTGATCACTGGCTGAAGTTAGTCATACCATTCCCACCATCTCAGTCCACTCTCTGGCTGCTTGGAATCAATGTCTGGAGTGTGTTACAGCATCAGAGGTGTGGCTGGCCTGGCTGCAAGTGAGCAAGTCGCACAAAGTGGCTGTGTAGAAGAAGCACTGTGATTAATTCTGGGAATCCTTTTTCTTTTGCATCCTTGAGCTGCTTGGTTGCCCCCCTCTGACTGTCATGGGAGACACTGCAGCGTACATGCTTTTGTGGCCAGGCTGGATGTACGTCTGAGGATTTGAAAGGGATGATGTGGTCCAGTGTTGCTGTAAGGTCATAGCAGGAGTATATTTAAAGTAGCTTTGCATCAGTAACATATAGCCCTGCTGCAAGGTGATTTGTGGTTTGGGTTTTTTTTGTTTCTCTCCCTAGAACGTGCTGAACATAACTAATAACAACTTCTACCTGGTCACTGTTGTGCAGCTAGACATAGAGGTTTTGCACCAGTCCCTGGTAGTAGGGAAGACCACCATGAAAACCCTGCTGAATATGAGCCCTTTGCAGAGCGGCCAGGTGAACTCTGCTGTTTTTTGCATTTTCTCCTAAACTAATCTGGATGTCCTGGGTAAGGGAGGTGCTTATTGTATACTTGACCCACTTCTTTGTCATCTGTCTGCCAAGTACTCAAAGCTCTTCCACATGCAGCTTCCCACATCCCACTTTGGGAAGGGGTGTTGTAAGAATTTACGTGTTGCTGAGTTTGAAGCTAATACATTCCTGGGCAAGGAACATATGTCTGCTCTTCGAGTAGTGGGCTGGGTTGTGTGCTTGCCATAAAATGATGGCAAGCTTAAAAACAGGTTAGACAAAACCCTGGTGGGAACAGTTTGAGCACAGCTGATCTATTGGTGTAAAGGTCAGGTGTGTGGCTTAGATGACGTTTTTAAGGCCTTTTTAGATCTAATTTCTGATTCTATTTTCTTACTTACTGTTAAAAACAATTGTTAGGCTAGATCTTGAAATTCAGGTTCAGACATCTAACGAGAGTCCAGTTCTCCCTATTTCAGCTCTCTGAATTGTATACAAACATAACTGTAGTTCTTGTGTACTTCATGCTTTCTCTTCTGTTCACATTTGCAGATCTATTATATGGTGGCCAGTAGGATATTGGACGACAACACCTAGTGAGTAATTCTTGAAGATTTCTTCCCTTGGTTAGTGAATAACATTAATGCTTATAGGCTTTTCATGACTAGATTTCTTCTGCTGGTCCTGTCTGTAGAGTGAAGCTGAGTGAGCGTGTCCTTTTCAGTTTAATGTGTGGAGCTGATCTGGATACAAGTCTGGCACATCCATTTTTAAACTCATTTCCTTTTCTATTTATTGGTATTCTCTGCTTAGTGTTGGCTCAACAATGTCATTTTCCATACATTCTGATGAGTAAGTGATGATATCAATTTGACGTCTAGGTTGTCAACTTTTGCTGCTCACAAATGGAGCATTTAAGGGTACCTTGTACAAACTGCATTTCTCTGCAAATGACCAGCAAACTGTATGAAGTTCAGAGCAACCAAAGCTTCTATGCAGACGGGTGGTGCATTGCATATTTACAAGGCCCATGCTTACTAGATCCACAGTTACAGAGTTAACACCAGCAAAAACATGTTTTACTGGTGTACATGCTGCTGTGCTTGAAGAACTTTGCCTACGTAGCGTGGTGCATTCATATTTACAAGGCCCATGCTTACTAGATCCACAGTTACAGAGTTAACACCAGCAAAAACATGTTTTACTGGTGTACATGCTGCTGTGCTTGAAGAACTTTGCCTACGTAGCTGTTGTCAGAATATTGCAAAGGCGGATCTTTTTGGAGAAGCAGAGAAGCAATGGAATAACTGGGGACAGGAGACACATGGTGCAGGCAGCTCCTGTGAAATTAACTCTCTTTTTTTCTCTTGTAGTAACATTTGCACCTGGACAAAAGTCAAAGTTCACAATATTCTGCTGCATATACAGTAAGTGATGCCTGGTTCAGAGCTATAACTAACATCCATGTCATCTACGTTGTTTCTCAGCTCCCTGCAAGAACGTCTGCAGTCATTGTTCTTTGAGAGCAGGACTGCCTGCAGTGTGAATGTGCTGTTACCCAGATAGGTGTGCTGAGGTGTGAGGAGGAGATGGTTCTCCAAAGCCATCACTGCCCTGGGGAGTCGCCTGGATTCAGGCTTACTGACAGCTCAAGCTGTCACTGTTGCTTAAGGCAAGCTGGCCTGGCAGACTTCCTTCTGGAATAGTGATTGTAGCTGTTGGGAAGTAATTTGTTGGTCTAGAGCTAGAAGTACTGACTAGTTCAATTATGCCTGCCTGCCTCATGGTGTTGGGGCAGACTCATTCAGCCTGGACTCTGTGTGGATGATTGCCTCCAAGTGTTCTGACAGCAGCTGCCGAGAGCAAGGCAGGAGAAAGCAGGCTCTTCTGCAGATTCTGTTGCCTGAGGCAGTTCCTGTTTGGGGGATGGACCAGAGGACCATGCTCAGCTTGACTGTGTTTTAGAGTACAACAGGCCCTGCTAGGAAAGCAAATGCAGATTGGCTGTTCCTCCCTGCCAGGGAGGAAGGAGTATAACTGCAGTTTTATAATACAGATCCTGCTGGGACAGGTTGCTACTGTTCTGGTTGGAGTTAGCACTAAGCCCGGTGTGTGAGACAGGGAAGCTCTTGCGAGGTATAGCAGTGCTAGAAGGCTTCCATGCAGCCATGAAAGAAGTGGTCTTCATTAGCTGAGTTTAACTCAATTGCACTTTGGAGAACTGCAGCAGAAATTGTCTCCTTGTGTAGCCTGTGTCCACTAGAGGGATCTCCCTGCACATCTGTGTTGACAGACTCCAGGTTGTGAGCCTACTCTTGAAGATGGACCTCTAGGTTCACCATCTGCAGACTGTTGTCACCGAGTCCATGACTTCTTCAGGAAGGAGGAACTTCTTTTGCATCATGGTCTTTTGTGCTGATCTAAAGCCAGGGCTTCACCTGCTCTATCTGGAAATGGACTGTGAATATTAGGAAAAGCATTTGATTGGAGAAAGTATGTGAATCTCTTGGAGGCATGCCAGGCTGGAATTCTCCCAAGTCACTAAAGAAATGTCACTGGCGATCTCCCGAAACACAAATATTTAAATATTGGTCTTCTGTTGCAATTTGAAGGGCTGTATTGTCAAGTTTCTTGTTTTATGGGACTTAATGCAGGTTTTAATTGTAATCAGTGCTGAGTGATGTGAAGTTTAAGCAGGTAAAGTACGCAGAGAAGCCCCATGCTACTCAAAGCATGGTAAAAATGGTGCATTTTGGACAGCATGGAGAATGGCTCTGGCTGTTAAGGCAACTTTATCCTTCTTAGCTGATGCTATGGGCTGATAAGACCTTTGATCTCTCTACCTGCAAGCTCTCCATTAGCCAGAAGCTGAAGATGATTCCAGTCATCTTTACACTTTTCTGCACCACATCTCCTCCTGCCAATATTACCCACTGATGGATTGCATAGTGTTAGGAGAAACTACTTGATGCAGGTGGCACAGACAGATAGTGATTGAAAGATACATGCTTTTGTCTAGCTAACTCCATAAACAGCCACCCACTGTGACATGCACTAGCACTTTGGGAACAGGTAAATGGTGAAATGGCACATGAGGGTTATGCTGGGGTAGGAAGTCTTAATGGGCTTCTAGGATGGCCAAAGCACCTGGCTGTGATGGTAGTCATCTTGTAAAGGCTGTCTTTAATGCAATCTGAAAGATGCTTTCCCTCTTCAACATGTGAAATTGAGCTGAGGGTATCTTGACTGTTGTGTTCTGGGGCTATGTAATAGAGGCAAAAGAGGATGGCAGTGGGAGCTCACCATGGGACCTTTACGTTATGAGAAGTCTCATCTGGGACAATCACAAGTGCAGTTCTGGTCTGCTTTTGCCTTGCAGGGGTACCCTGACCTGCACGTACCTGTGTCATTCAGAGCAGCTGACTTTTGAAGACTACCAGTACGTGGACTGCCAGGGGAATGCCACGCTACCTCGCCCATTGTACCACTGCCTGCCATGACAGGGCCAGGTTGGCAGAGCTTTTGGGTGCAGCATATTCTACCACAAAGGCAAGTCATAGGGAGACAAACTTCTGGGGCTTCTTCTCATTCTGTGCCTTAAACAGGATAAGACTTCCATGTCTTGTGCGAAGATGGTAACGTACTTGGCCTTATGAATGTGGACTCTGCTGCCCTCGGATTGCAGCTTTCTTTTTTCAGTGCCTTATCATGGCTGATGCTTCAGCAGAGTGACCAGTGTATGGGGGGGTGTCTCTGCGTGGCTGATGGGAGTGGGCCACACTCCTGTTTCACTACTGCTTTGGAGGCAGTGCCCTGTTAGTCAGACTAACTCCTAGTTGTTTCCTCCTTGCGTAATTTTGCACTTCTGTCCTGAATTTAAGTATTTTATAACTTGAAAAAGGACTGTGATGAGACTTTTTGGCTGGATTGCATCGACATCACCAGAATCTAATGACCGTTGTACAACCTGTGCAACAAGAGCAAGAAACAGGACTGATGTCTCTATATGTCTGGGTCTTAAGAAAAACTACTGCATGTCATGCCAAAACACCTTGTGAAAGTGACTCTTGGGTGACTGCTGTTTTAAGCTGTCCAGTATAGGAGGTGAGAATATGCATTTTTGTATATATGTATTTTTAAAACAAGCTCATCTGCTAGCTGTTCCTTAATGGCATCCATTTCAGTGAGAAGAAAATGCATTTTGTATCATGAACCAAAAAGATTGCTACTTTCCAGGCAGTGGTGTGTAGTGGCCAGCACATGCTGTTTGCTGTATTGTTTTCTTGTATGCTTTGGCATTTAATGCTTTCAACCTGAACAAGCATGAGAGAGTTCATCTCTGACTGGAAGAGCTTAATTTGCACAAATATCAGGAAACAGCTGGTTCTGGGGTGTGGTGTTTTGGGGTTCTTTGGGATTTTTTCTGGTGGTTTGTTTTTTTTTTTTTTTGTCTAAAGCTGGAAAACTACCCAACAGACTTTACAAGAGGAACAGCCCTGGCAGCCTTGTCTCCTCCCAGAGCTGGCAGTTGTATCCCCCAAACAATGGAGGAGTTAAACGTTATTCTTTTAGGTTCTAGTTTAGATGCTGCCTGATGCATTCTAGATGGTAAAATAAGAGCCTGGGAGTTGCTGGACTAAAATTTTTACTCAGTGGTTCAGCATTTTCCTGCGTCTGTCCCACTGAAGGATAGAACCAAAGCATCAGAATAGTTGAAGACTGTTGAAGAAAGTCTCTGATCCTGTCTTCAAAATAATGCTTCCTAAACCAGCACTTCTTACAGCACTCTTGTGGAGTCTTGCTCCTCACTATATCATCCATTGAGATCACCCTGAAATGGTAACTAGTCAGCTTCCTCCCTGAAGCACGGATGAAGAAGCTCCAGGTCCCATACTGAAATCCTCCCTGCTCGTCGCATCTCTGCAGTGCTTTTGGTATTTGCCATATTGTTGATTCTGCTGTGCACTTCCCTCCCCTGCTGCTGGGTTTCCAGCTGTGCTTCTATACTGCTGTCCTCCACTTGTACCATTGTTGTCTGTTCGCAAATAAAGGGCCTTGTGCAACCAGAGGTGGATGACTTGTCTCTGTGCGGTGGGTCTTCACCCTTGCTGTAGCCGCTGTACAGCTCCAGCGACACAGTGACTTGCTCATCAGCAGGTACGCGGGCATGAAGGGAGATGGGAGACTTTACGGGGAGAAGGCTTTAAGAAAGAGGCAGAGCTGAGACCAGGGAATAGCCATTCCCTGGAAGGTACCTGAGGCCGAATCAGACAGCTGTGGCTAGCTGTGCGCTCGGCACACGTGGGTGCAAGCATCCCAGTGGGAAAAAAGCAGCTCACTCTGCGTGCGAGCTGGAAAGCCTCCATGGCTGCAGCCCGCTCTCCTTGCCCACGTCCTTGCGACCCTCCCCGGCCGCCCTGCCGGTTTTCTTGCGGTGAGCTCTTCGCCCGGGCTGGCCCGGCTGTGCGCCCTCGGCGCGGGGAGCCGAGCGGGCGCGGCCTCCTCCCGCCCTCACCCCTGCCGCAAATCACAAAGCCGGTGTCGTAGACTGGCCCCGGCCGCGAGTCTCCGCCCTCTCTATGATCGGTGCCGGCGCGACTCCCGCGCCGTCACCGCACCGCTTCCGTCGCGCCCCGGACGCGGAAGTGGTGTCGGGTGTGCGCGTGCGTGGGTGGGGGCGGAATCATGGCGGACCTGGCGGCTCTGGAGGAGCTCGCGAAGCTCGAGTACTTGTCGCTAGTCTCCAAGGTCTGCACCGAGCTGGACAACCACCTGGGCATCAACGACAAGGACCTGGGTGAGTCAGGCGGGCCTCAGCCGGGGGTTGGGCCGTTGGGCAGGGCCTTTGGGGATCCCCGTGGCGAGCGCGGCTCGGTGTCTGTCGCGTCAGGGGCCCGACGGCAGCTATGGGAAGGGCTGTTGGGGCCGTTCCTGTCGGCTGGGACGCGTTTTGCGGAGGGGCTTTCCGAATTCAGAAAAAAAACCATGATTTTTCTTCAAAAAAACTTGTCGCGAGCGCGCTTCGATCTGGGCTCCTACGAAAGGGCTGGGAGGCGACGCCGCGACTATTGCGAGCAGCGTGGCAGCTTTTCCGTAGGTAGGCAGACCTAGCTGGTCACCGCGCTGCTGGGAGAACGGCTTTTATCCAAATACGAAGTGCTTGTACTGCCTTTTAATTATTTGTTCTAATCTACTTTCTGCTTTTTCTTCGCAGCCGAGTTTGTGATAAGTCTTGCTGAGAAAAATACTACGTTTGAGACGTTTAAAGCAGTTCTTCTAAAGAATGGTGCTGAGTTCACTGTAAGTCAGATCTGAACGTTATTTACGTGTTCTTGTCCTGGTGTATTTCATAGAGCTTTTTGGTTTTGAGAGAGAGGTGCGAGGAGTGATTATTGGTTTTCTTCAATTGGAAAACTATGCACTAATTAGCTTTTGAGTATTCCTGTCTCATCAAGTCAAGCCTCCCCCTCCCTCCTCCTTTTTAAAAACTTCTGTAGTTTTTGCAAAGCATCCTTCTGAGGACTCGAACTGCTTATTGTCTCACTGAGCATATAAAATATGGAAGAAAAGACTTTTCACGAAGGTAAATGCTGCTGTAAGTCTTTTTACGATACTTAGATGCTGTGTTCATGAGTTCCCCAGAAATAACTGTACTTGGATTAAATAGGTGATTAAAAATGACAAGTAGAAAAGTCACTTAAATGGAATATCATAATCATTTTCAGATTCAACTTACTATATCTTTTCAGGATGTACATGAAGTCTAGTGACACTTTCCAAAGATGAACCTGCATCTTCAGAATTGAGCTTTTTTTTGTCCCACTAGGAAAGCCCTCACTTGTGCCTTCTTCTAATAATAAAAAACAGCATTGCAGTCATTTCTTAAAGTATTTTATTAAATTTTTCAGGATTCCCTTATCAGTAACTTGCTCCGTCTCATACAGACAATGCGGCCTCCACCAAAGCCATCTACGAGCAAAGGTACGCATAATCTTGTCCCTGTTATCAGTTCAGTGTAAAAAGAAAACCAAAACTCTTAGTCTTTTGTAGTTTTTGGCCTTGTTTAGTAAGATTGATGTAGTTATTGTTCTGGTCTTGTAAGGCAAGAGTTTGTATCTTATTGTTGCAGTGGGAGTCTCGCTGTTGTTAGTGGTAGGTTAGCAAAGCTGTTTAGGCACTAAAAACATACTGAGTGCACTATTTAGAGTATTTATGTATTTCACAGATTCACTAATAGTCAGAATTTTATTTGTAGGAAGGTAACATTGTAATCTTTAAATTGAATCTCTAAAATCTGTATCAATCTTTGTATTCAGATGAAAGTTAAACTTTATATTCAATTACAGAAAAGAGTGAATCGTTCTAGCTCTTCTAAGTTTTGGGTTTTTTGTTTGTTTTTTGTTTTAAATCTCAAAATCAGAGGCAGTTGTCAAACCCAAATCGGAGAAGGAAAAGTTGAAGGAATTGTTTCCAGCCCTTTGCAGGCCAGACAATCCTAACATCAGGGTAAGGTCATAATTTCAGATTTCTTTTGTAAGTATGTGAAAACATAATTTTTTTTTTTCCCTATTTCTCTTTAGTTTCAAGTTTTTTTTCATGTTAATTTGAGTGTCTCCTCCTAACGTATAGATAAAAATGGACTATGAGAAATTAAATGTAAAAGCAGCAGAAGGCTGGTATTATTGCACATAGTTATCAGGAATAGCTGTTAAGCAATTGCCACATTGATACTGTTTTGCAGAATACCTGGAAGATTCTGTGACACGAAACTTGTGGCCTGGCCTTTCTTACATAATGTTCAAAGTAATGATGGATTACAAACTAGAGAAAAATATTAGACATTCAGGTGCTACGAGGGACTTGCATTTTATATTTCTGTAATAATTTGAGGTGTTGAAATGAAGCTGTCTTATACAAAAGCAGAATTGTCTCAATATTGTGGCAAAATAGGGCGGTAACTTTTTGTTACTTTTTTTCCCCCCTATATCACGTATTCTGTCTGATCTTTATCTTACATTCCTTCTAAATAGACATGCATATGATTATCCTTTCTGTAGATTAATTCTCTGTGACAGACTTTTTATCAGCCTTCTTACAGAATAGTTCTCTGTTCTTGCAGAATATGCTGGATGAAGATGATGTGAAAGTGGCAGCTGATGCACTTAAAGAACTTGAAGCTCTAATGCCTAGTGCAGACAGGCAAGGCAGGCAAAGGAATAGTGACCACCGGTAGGTTTCTGGTGTGTCTTTGGGGGATGGGTATTGGCAGTTGGTATTGCCTGCTCGCTCTGTTCTTATGTGGAATCTCACTACAAATATGTAATGTTTGTTTGTTAGGGCAAAGAAAAAGAGGAAGAGCCGAAGTCGTAGCAGGGACAGGAAACGAAGGCACAGATCTCGTTCTAGGTCTCGTTCTAGGACTCGGGATAAGAACAGGGGAAAATCCAGATACCGGTCAAGGAGCAGAAGTCGAAGTCCCAGTAGGGACCGTAAGGATCGAGAGAAGTACGTCGAGAAGAGCAGTGAGAGATGGAGAGACAAGCACATAGACCGTCCACCACCTGAGGAGCCTTCCATTGGAGACATTTACAATGGCAAAGTCACAAGTATAATGCAATTTGGATGCTTTGTGCAGCTGGAAGGACTAAGGTACCTTCTGATGTTCACAATAAATCTGGTACTATTCCATCTGAGTTCTCTTTTCTGCTAGTATCTTAAAGAGGTTATGAGACTACAGTAAGGTATGCTGGGTTTTGATGCTGAAATGAAGGTCTGTTTCAGAAAAATAAATTCGACAGCAGAGAACGTTCTCCTTGTGAAAAACAGTTTATGAACGTACAGAAACAATCAGTTGACAACAAAATATTTTAATCCAGACTGAATGATCTGAAGGACTTGTCGGAGTAATAACATGCAACATCTCATGCCCCTCTGTTTGTTTCACCTACAGGAAGCGTTGGGAGGGCTTGGTTCACATCTCAGAGCTTCGAAGAGAAGGACGGGTTGCCAATGTTGCTGACGTTGTGAGCAAAGGACAAAGAGTAAAAGTCAAAGTGTTATCCTTTACTGGATCCAAAACCAGCCTGAGCATGAAGGTATGGAAGACATTCTGTAGTGCTTATAATAGAGTTTGTGGTGCCAACATTTTTAAAGATTACACCTTTTTTGCTATTTTTTGCTCTTTTTGATGAAAATGAATACATAACGCTTCAAGTGGGAGTTAAAAAAATTGAGTTACTGTTCTGTGTTTAAGTGGCCTATTACTTTTTACTCATTTTCTGTAGGTTCTTGTTTTTGATGTGACGTTCCTAACAATTGTTTGACTTGATGTGTTAGCTAAGTGACAAGGTAAACCTCAAGCTGTTGCTATGTTTGTCTTCCTTTTTCAGTATGAGAGAATCATTTCATTTTAAATGAAAGCGCTGCCATTGCCAAGGCAGAGTAGGGTGTTCCAGGCCTTGGGGTGTACCTGCCTCACAAAACCAGCGAAAAAAAAAAAAAGCACGCAAAATAGCATTTTCTGTGTATGGGCTGTTGTTGGCAGTAGTCTCTCTGAGAAACGTACTCTGCTTTTTCTCTTGTGTTAGAGGAAGCACCCATCTTAATAGATAAGGAGAAGTTCAATATACATAGAGCTGATTGATTAATCAATCTAATGTAGGATGTTGATCAAGACACTGGGGAAGACTTGAACCCAAACCGAAGGAGAAACCTGGTTGGAGAAACCAATGAAGAAACCTCTATGAGAAACCCAGACAGACCCAGTCACCTGTCCCTGGTGAATGCCCCGGAGGTGGAGGATGATAGCCTTGAACGGAAACGCCTCACCCGAATTTCAGACCCAGAGAAATGGGAAATAAAACAGGTGTGTTTTGTATTCAGGGAAATAGGGTGTCAGTCAGTAAAATTGCTAGGGAGTTTCATGAACTAGAATACAGCTCCTTGATTGTTTGTGTAACTTATTCCTTCTAAATTGCTGACTTCTAGCTTAGTTCTAACTATGAAGTTAGCCCTGCTTTGAGCAGGAGGTTGGACCAGGCAACCTCCAGAGATCACTCTGACCTGGG